GGGGTTGTTTTTCAGGGGTTGTGCTCCGCCCCTTAGTTCCAGTGAAGGAAACTCTTAAGGCCTCAGCACACCAAGACATTCTGGACAATTTCATGCTCCCAACTTTGTGGGAGGAGTTTGGGGACGGCTCCTTCCTGTTCCAACATGACTGCGCACCAGTGCACAAAGCAAGGTCCATAAAGACATGGATGGGGGAGTTTGGGGGGGAGGAACGTGACTGGCCGCACAGAGTCCTGACCTCAACCCCATAGAACACCTTTGGAATGAATGAGAGCAGAGACTGCGAGCCCCTCCCCCAACATCAGTACCCGACCTCACAAATGGTCCAACATTCCCATAGACACACCCCTAAACCTTGTGGACGCCTTCCCAGAAGAGGCGGAGCTGTTATAGCGGCAAAGGGCGGAGCCAACCCAATACTGAACCCTACGGACTAAGACTGGGATGCCATTAAAGGTCATGTGCGTGTAAAGGCGTCCCAATACTTTTGGCAATATAGTGTAGCTCACACCCACAAGATGGCCGCTTTCATTGTGTCCACAGGGTCACTTTACACACATTGTCACCATCAGCCTCAGGAATTTCACGGCTTCCATCCATAAAAATGTATCAATTCAAATAAATTAAATATTAGAAAAACAATAAAAATCTATAAAAGAACTGATCTGGATCGGCCTGCTGGTCACATGTATGGAACGGACGCTCTGTGTGTATAATGAGGATGATCACATGGCGCACTATATGGAACCTGCTGATATAACGGGTCCTCGTGTTCCGGCCGGTCTGGCAGCGTGTTGTCACGTGACCCCGATCGATGAATCGTATGGACGGCTGTCGGGTCACGGCTGCCTCAGGCTGTCATATTCGTCCGCAACGCAGTTCAGAGTGTCGAAGGCCGCCCGGAAGTCCTCGTCCTCGCAGCCGTACCTCCGATACCAATGCAGGTAGGCCCCGGCCTCGTGCATGGTGCGTGCTTTACCCACAATGCTCCTCACCAGGTCGGCTGTGCTGGAGTGGTTGGCGCAGACGGTCAGGGAGTGGCTGTGACACGAGGGGTCCAGAATATTCTGGGGGTCTACGGAACATTCAGACAACGTGATGACGTCTCTGCTTCTGGAATGTCACAATTCTCATCATTTGTTCTACATTCAGTGTGGTGGTATAGCCCCCCCTGTACTGGATCTGGTGGTATAGCCCCCCCTGTACTGGATCTGGTGGTATAGTCCCCCCTCTGTAGTGGATCTGGTGGTATAGCCCCCCCCTGTACTGGATCTGGTGCTATAGTCCCCCCTCTGGTAGTACAGTCCCCTCTCTGTACTGGATCTGGTGGTACAGTCCCCTCTCTGTACTGGATCTGGTGGTACAGTCCCCTCTCTGTACTGGATCTGGTAGTACAGTCCCTTCTCTGTACTGGATCTGGTGGTATAGTCCCCTCTCTGTACTGGATCTGGTAGTACAGTCCCCTCTCTGTACTGGATCTGGTGGTACAGTCCCCTCTCTGTACTGGATCTGGTGGTACAGTCCCTTCTCTGTACTGGATCTGGTGGTACAGTCCCTTCTCTGTACTGGATCTGGTGGTATAGTCCCCCCTCTGTGCTGGATCTGGTGGTATAGTCCCCCCTCTGTGCTGGATCTGGTGGTATAATCCCTTCTCTGTGCTGGATCTGGTGGTATAATCCCTTCTCAGTACTGGATCTGGTGGTATAATCCCTTCTCTGTACTGTAAATCATGTCAGAAGAAGGATCAGGTAGAATGTTACAATGTCCAGAAATAGATCACTGACCTGTCCAGCATTGGATGGGGGAAGGGTTCCAGGGGACGCAGCGATAGGACTGCTTCAGCTTTGTTAGTACGGAGTCCCGGGAGAGGAGGAAGGAGTAATCCTGGGAATTCCGAGCCACGGCCAGAACAGACAGACTGTGATGCTGAGAGAACGAGTTAAGGGAAGAACTGAGAGAAACTGGAATATTCATCAACATGGCGGCATTGAGAGGCAGATCCGAAATCCATGTGGGAACATTAACCATATTACCATATATTACTAAAAGTATTGGGACGCCTTTACATGCACATAAACTTTAATGGCGTCCCAGTCTTAGTCCGTAGGGTTCAGTATTGGGTTGGCTCCGCCCTTTGCCGCTATAACAGCTCCGCTAGTTTGGAGATCTGTAGCTATTGACTCTGCGGACAGTTGGCGACTTCTGCGCACTGTGCGCTTCAGCATGCGCTGACCCCGCTCTGTCATGTGACGTGGCTGACCACTTCCTGGCTGAGTTGCTGTTGTTCCCAGTTGCTTCCACTTTGTTATAATCCCAGTAACAGGCGACCGCGGCGGAATATTTAGTAGCCGGGAAATGTCACGGAACACCTGAATCCAATGATTAGGAGGGGGAGGGGCCAATACTTTTGGTAATATAGTGTATGTACTGTATCTGTCTTCTATGAAATGTTCTGCAAAGTTCTATTACTAGTGACTGATAGAGCACATGAGACCAATCCTTCTTCCCGTCTCTGGTTATAACAATACATGAGACATTGCTCACACCGAGCCCAGTTATGATATCATCTTACCAGGAGCGCCATTTAGGTTGGTGAAAGGATACAAGTTGGCCCTGAGGATTTGCTCGAGGGACGGTCTGCACCACAGAGGACGTCACCTTATCCCAGAACGCCGTTCCCCTGCCGATATAAAGAGGATTCAGAATCATACTGTAATCAAAGCAAGTCTGGGTTCACACCACATGCATTGGGACTGTTTTTTCCAGCACAGCCCTAATGTAAGACAAGGTCATTTGCCTTGTCACAACAGATAGGCGCGGTTCACACCACTGCAGCGCATGGGTGTTGCAGTGGCATGCGCTGTAGGGCTGCAGCTAACGATTATTTCATAATCGATTAGTTGCCCCGATTAATCGATTAGTTGCATTTTAAAAAAATCTCTCTCGATAGTTGACAACTATTCTCATAATCGATTATTATCGATTAGTTGGTTGCAGCCCTAATGCACTGAAAAAAGTATTGCATGCAGTACTTTTTTTTTGCAGCGCAGCAAGATGCAACGCAGTACAACCTCCTCGCACCTGGCTGTGCCCGTAGAACCTAATGAAATTAAATTGAACGACTTGCACGCAGTAAATGAGAAGCGGAAGCCATCTTACCTCCTGCAGACCTGAGCCGTGTGCAGAAACTTCATGCTGGGCATCGGACACAGGGATCGGATCAGCTCCCAGGGCTCCAGCCCCATACTGACCGTGCTGCAAGACAACCAACAATGCGCATCAGGAGACAACTTGTGACAGTTTACATTTGGCTTCGTGTCATTTTATCACACAAGGGGGCCATCGGCTTAGGTTACTCGAGCCGACTTCCAGCAACTTTGTAAAATACAATTTAAAAGGCGATTTCACCTAAAACTGACATGTGAGTTCCAGGCGGGTGAGATGTAATTTCCCCTTCCTTATATATCTCGGAGCCTCCTGATGGTGAAACCTTCCCCAGGGGTGTCACCGTGTCATAAACAAAATCTCATTCATATAAATCTACATTATAGAAGATCCGATGGGGGAGAGTCACACCTTCATTATACTTCAGAGTCATTGTAACTGAATCCCAAATACATCCAATCATCAGCATGAAATCCCATTCCAATGATAAACACCGTCACTTTGTGATTTAAAGGAGAACTATGAGGGGGGGGAGGGGGGTGCTTTTCACTCACCTCATAGTTCTAGCCGACCTGTGACAATGAGACTGTCACAGGTCGGCTCAGTAGATCGGGAGGTGAGAGAACACATACCGGCGCTCGCTCACCTCTCGATCCTGTCACGGCTCTCTGCCGTGACAGGGGGAGGGGCTGGATTCCACCCTCCCCGCTCCGATCCTCCAGCGCTGACTGGCGGATCGGACGGGGGAGGGGGCGGGTACAGCTGGCTCTGCCTCTAGATAGGCAGAGCCAGCTGTCAGTCACGCAGCTGGGCGGATCCAGACATCGATGTAGGGATCCGCTCCGGCTGCGGCGTCTCAGCATACCGCGAGCTGTAGCTCCCTATATACTGAGCCTGGGGTGACGGGAGGACGCTAGTTTGTGTCCCCCCATTACCCTAAGGAGAACTATGGGGAAAAGCCCTGACCCCGTAGTTCTCCTTTAAAACACCAAAACTTGTGACAAAGAGAACATTTTGAGGGTTTTTGGTTGGGAGATCCCATAGCTGGTTACATAATTGGGCGTATGTAGAGCTGAAACTTTCATTCTTGGCTTTGGATAGAGTAGGGAAGGGTTAAAAAATAGTGATGCACCGATACCAGTATCAGCGCCGATATTGAGCATTTGCAGGAGTACTCGTAATTGTCCAAATGCTTCAATACCAAAAACCGATATCGGCACTTCAATTATTCAAACTGGTGAACGCTGCCTTTGGTTACGCGCTTGCTGGGGACCTTGTGGCATCCTCCTTGGGAACCATGCGGTGCTTGTTTACAGTGCTTCCGCTGCCCTGCACATCTCCTCCTCCTGAGACCCTCAGCACATCTCCCGAGACCGTCCGCGCACTCCCCCCATCCTTCAGCTCCCCCTCCCGAGAGCCTCAGCGCAGCTCCCCCTCCCGAGAGCCTCAGCGCAGCTCCCCCTCCCGAGAGCCTCAGCGCAGCTCCCCCTCCCGAGAGCCTCAGCGCCACTCCCCCTCCCGAGAGCCTCAGCGCAGCTTTCTCCCGAGACCCTCCGCACAGCTATTTCTCCCGAGACCCCCTGATGGTGTGACAGGACCCTTAAATCATAACTTTTTTTTAAATATTAAACTGCAACAATCAGATGACTTTATCCCACATTTGTATACAAGTAGTAAGCAGGTGGAGCACTGATAAGAGTTACCTTCTCGTCTTCAGGGAGTACACGGGATAGAGGAGGCCGGCTAGACAAGAAGCAATGTGCGTATTCATTGCAGTGAGGGAGACTCCTGGCTGAAGGCCGGAGGAAGAGAAAATTTTTTTCTCAGCTATAGAGGCCACTCTCTTCATCACATCATCATTGGAGAAGAGCAGGACCCCATCGCAGTACCTACAAAACAAGCTCAGATCCTCACAGACATAGAACAAGACCCCATCGCAGTACCTACAAAGCAAGCGCACATCCTCACGGACATAGAACAAGACCCCATCGCTGTACCTACAAAACAAGCGCACATCCTCACAGACATAGAACAAGACCCCATCGCAGTACCTACAAAGGAAGCACACATCCTCACAGACATAGAACAAGACCCCATCGCAGTACCTACAAAACAAGCGCACATCCTCACAGACATAGAACAAGACTCCATCGCACTACCTACAAAGGAAGCACACATCCTCACAGACATAGAACAAGACTCCATCGCAGTACCTACAAAACAAGCTCACATCCTCACCGACATAGAACAAGACTCCATCGCAGTACCTACAAAACAAGCTCACATCCTCACCGACATAGAACAAGACTCCATCGCAGTACCTACAAAACAAGCTCACATCCTCACCGACATAGAACAAGACTCCATCGCAGTACCTACAAAACAAGCTCACATCCTCACCGACATAGAACAAGACTCCATCGCAGTACCTACAAAACAAGCTCACATCCTCACCGACATAGAACAAGACTCCATCGCAGTACCTACAAAGCAAGCGCACATCCTCACAGACATAGAACAAGACTCCATCGCAGTACCTACAAAGCAAGCGCACATCCTCACAGACATAGAACAAGACCCAATCGCAGTACCTACAAAGGAAGCACACATCCTCACAGACATAGAACAAGACCCCATCGCAGTACCTACAAAACAAGCGCACATCCTCACAGACATAGAACAAGACCCCATCGCAGTACCTACAAAGCAAGCGCACATCCTCACGGACATAGAACAAGACCCCATCGCTGTACCTACAAAACAAGCGCACATCCTCACAGACATAGAACAAGACCCCATCGCAGTACCTACAAAGGAAGCACACATCCTCACAGACATAGAACAAGACCCCATCGCAGTACCTACAAAACAAGCTCACATCCTCACAGACATAGAACAAGACCCCATCGCAGTACCTACAAAACAAGCGCACATCCTCACAGACATAGAACAAGACTCCATCGCACTACCTACAAACAAGCTCACATCCTCACAGACATAGAACAAGACCCCATCGCAGTACCTACAAAACAAGCACACATCCTCACAGACATAGAACAAGACCCCATCGCAGTACCTACAAAACAAGCGCACATCCTCACAGACATAGAACAAGACCCCATCGCAGTACCTACAAAGGAAGCACACATCCTCACAGACATAGAACAAGACCCCATCGCAGTACCTACAAAACAAGCGCACATCCTCACAGACATAGAACAAGACCCCATCACAGTACCTACAAAACAAGCGCACATCCTCACAGACATAGAACAAGACCCCATCGCTGTACCTACAAAACAAGCTCACATCCTCACAGACATAGAACAAGACCCCATCGCAGTACCTACAAAGGAAGCACACATCCTCACAGACATAGAACAAGACCCCATCGCAGTACCTACAAAGGAAGCACACATCCTCACAGACATAGAACAAGACCCCATCGCAGTACCTACAAAACAAGCTCAGATCCTCACAGACATAGAACAAGACCCCATCGCAGTACCTACAAAGCAAGCGCACATCCTCACGGACATAGAACAAGACCCCATCGCTGTACCTACAAAACAAGCGCACATCCTCACAGACATAGAACAAGACCCCATCGCAGTACCTACAAAGGAAGCACACATCCTCACAGACATAGAACAAGACCCCATCGCAGTACCTACAAAACAAGCGCACATCCTCACAGACATAGAACAAGACTCCATCGCACTACCTACAAACAAGATCACATCCTCACAGACATAGAACAAGACCCCATCGCAGTACCTACAAAACAAGCGCACATCCTCACAGACATAGAACAAGACCCCATCGCAGTACCTACAAAACAAGCGCACATCCTCACAGACATAGAACAAGACCCCATTGCTGTACCTACAAAACAAGCGCACATCCTCACAGACATAGAACAAGACCCCATCGCTGTACCTACAATACAAGGACACATCCTCACAGACATAGAACAAGACCCCATCGCAGTACCTACAAAGGAAGCAAAGGACTTCACTAAGCCCTCATTCAAACCTACCAGGTAGGTGCCATTAGGAAATCCTGCTGCAGGAACTTTCATCCGTTTAAGTTAATGATTAGGTGACAGCAGCTGCATTTGAAAGCAACAAAACACTGACACACCACATGTAATTGTATATGATACTATTACAAGTAGTTGGGAATAAATTGCGATCCCTGTTTGCATGATTGATTTAGTTTGTGTGTTAGCCATTTGCCTGGAGTTCAGTTTGAAGGGAAAAGAATCATGACAGATCTCTAAGCGTCCTTTGTTCTCGGTAGGATGTTACTCCTGGCAGGGCCGTCCTTTTAACGAGGCAGCCTCAAGCGGCATCTCTTTGGGTCATGTGGGAGAGCGGCAGGCCGCCCTGCTGCACAATTTCTGCCCCCTTTTCGACCACAGCATCCCAGGTTGCTAAGAACTGGGCGGGGAGATGCGTAAGGGCCATACATATCCCCCTGCCTAGCTCTTAACAACCTGCAATGCTCTTACCGGCATCCCACTGAGATACTGGAAACCAGTGACATCACTGGTGGCCAGGAGTTTGAATGGGATGCCAGCCAGAGCGTTGCAGGTTGTTAAGAGCTGGGTGGGGAGATGCATGTGAACCATCCAGCACACCCCACCTCAGGCGGTAAAATGTCTAGGGACACCCCCACCTCCCGGCAATCGGGCAGCTTCACTCTGTGATAAATCTTCAGCAGATCATGATATTCAGCAACAGACTGACCCTCGGCTCACCTCTGCAGGTAGGACAGGCAGAGCAGCGAGTTGTAATGCTGCAGTGGGGTGTCACCGGACTCGTGGGGTGCCGCCGTCACACTCAATATGTGACCCGCTGGATAGCCGTCTCGGATCTCCTGACAAAGATGGGAACCCAGACCTGATGGGGTGAGCACATTAGAAATATAACCAACGTCCACGGTTGACACACAGAAATATTATTTAAAAGGCAAAATTATGATATCAACACATTTCCATTACAACCTGAAGCCAGCTAAAATTTTCTGTGACCATCAAATGAAAATCTAATTATTTCCCATGCCCCCATGGCAACACGATTCAGCGTATAGCCAGGATTTCCCAGAATCCTCGATTCCTGCTGCTGAAGTTGGCTCGCTGCCTCACCCAGAAGTATGCGCAGTGCTTGAAATCGAATTACTAGCAGCCTGTGATAAAGTGATGTTTTTACAGAGGTCAGAGCTACAACAAGCCTCGGACTTGGAGTCAGAGGCTGGAGCTCTGTGGATAGTTATGACCAATGTCAAAGTGCCATTGGTCCGAGCCATCCCATCAAATAAAAAAGAAACACTGACGGCATCCATCTAGATCAGGGGTCTCAAACCTCCGGCCCTCCAGCTGCGGTGGAACTACAAATCCCATGAGGCATTGCAAGATTCTCACAGCCACAGACATGGCTCCCGGAGAGAGATGCATTATGGGATTTGTAGTTTCACCACAGCTGGAGGGCCGGAGGTTTGAGACCCCTGATCTCGATGCTTCATCAGTGACGAGCAAGTGTGGGACAGGGAGGCTCCTCCCACACCCCACAGGCAGAGCGTTTCCCCTTCTCCCTCACACGCTGTGAGTTACAGCGCCGGGACCGATCTACAAGGGGGAACCGAACCACCTGCTGCCCTGCTCTGCTGCATTTCTTCTGCCACCGGCAGATGAACACATAGCTCGGTGACCGGGCCTGGGGAATTTATGGGGGCCTCACCTGCCACTAACCTTTTCCACATGTCCCTCTCAGGTCTAGGGGGTCACAGGCCCTAATACAGTTGGGCCCCTGGTGTCCACCTCATCCCTTTATTTCTGATTATCTTTTATATTCACTGACCCACTTCGGCCCCTTCTATTCCCTTCTCAGGATGCCCATAGCAGTAAGTTGATGTACGTACCAGAGCCAGTGCCGCCACACAAGCTGTGCAGAATCACCGTGCCGCTGTAGCAGTCTCGTCTCTCCACCTCTTTGCGGAAACTCTCCATCGTCTGCTCCAGCAAGCTTCCATCTGACCCAGTGCTATGGTCACGATACCCTAGAGGGGGACATGGATGGATTGCCAGATAAATGGAGCAGCCCGGTGTTTACAAAACTTAAAAGGAGAACTATGGGGTCAGTGTTTTTCCCAATAGTTCTATTAAGGGTTACAGGAGGACATAAACTAGCGTCCTCCCGTGACCCAAAGCTCATATACCGCGAGCTACAGCTCTCTGTATACCTGAGACCACCGCAGCCGGGACGGATCCCGGCAATACTGTCTGGATCCACCCAGCTGCGTGAGTGACAGCTGACTCTGCCTATCTAGAGGCAGAGCTAGCTGTACCCGCCCCCTCCCCCGTCAGTTCCTCCAGTCAGCGCTGGAGGATCGGAGCGGGGAGGTGGGGGGAATCCCTGCAGGGAGCTGTGAGTGACAGTCACGGCTCTCTGCATGGAGATGATAGAGAAGTGAGCGAACGCCGGTTATGTGTTCGCTCACTTCCCGATCTAGTGAGCCGACGTGTGACAGTTTCATTGTCACTCGTCGGCTCGAATTATGAGGATTAGGGATTTTCACTCGACTCATAGTTCTCCCTTAATGCTGAGAGCGGTGATAAGCATTATTCTACCGCAACCAACCACAGAGCAGCTTTCATAGCGTTGGTGAATACATTTTGTTATTTTGGAATTGGGCTTTTGGGCTTTTCGGCAATTGACATTCATATAGAATAAAATAAAACAATAGTTCAATAGTTTGACTTTAAACTTGTCCCCAGAGTACAGCCCCCCACCCCCCCCCTTCTTACCATAGGCCCAGTTATTTCCTCTTCCTTTACGGCCTGCAATGATATTGGCGTCTCTGAAGTATCTGGGGAGAAACACAACCAGCTATTATGTATAATATGTGCTAATAACACCAATTCAAACACATCCCAGACACAATGTATACATCGGGGAAGGGGACCGTTTCTGATCGGACTGTGAAATGTTCATTTTGTTAAAAAAAAAAAAGTGTCCGGATACAAACAGGCCGCCATGTTTTTTCCAACAAGCTTTATGGCAGTTAGTACAAATTACCTAAGCACATCGCTCACCACCAGACCTTCTCCTACTACTCTGACGCATCAGATTCTTCATCACTAAGACCTATTGAGGATGAAACTTTGAAAGAGTAGGAGAGGGTGGAGAGATAAGCAATGTGCACCAGTCTGAAACTGTCACGATCCCCCTTAAATGCTCGGTTTTATGGATCTCAGCTAGTCTTATGTCACTGTAACTGGTAGGGACGGCTAGTCAGGCTTTAACCCCTGGCGTCACACTCAATCTGTACGGAGTGTTAGGGGTTATAGCATCATTTGCCGCGATACGAGTTTAGATGGCTTGAGAGTCAAGAGTCTATTACTTCATAGACCCTCGTTAGATTGTACACAGTCAGGGGGTGTGGACATTTATAAAAAAAACTACAAAGCGGGGGCCTGATCTAGGGCCCCCCTGATCAGGGCCGGATTTACTCCACCTGCCGCCCCAAGGCCAGGTTCCACAATACGCCCCCCCCA